TGCAAATGTACCTGAACATTATTAATGACTGATTTGATATTATTGGAAATTAACATTCTTATCATACAGTGAAGTATTATCTATATGAAGCGTTACACATATAACAGGCATGTTAATAACAGTGTTGATTGACCTGTAGTATGATCAAGGCGTCATGTTCTTCAGGGGGAATCCCACAATCACCTGATATATGGCATTATAATCCAGCTTTTCTGACGAACGTTCATTGGAGATGTACGTCAATACAGATAACTGGTGGATCATTCACATTATTCGTTCATTCGTAAATGGAGGCGGTGGGGTAGCCTAATGATTAAAGCGTTCGCCCGTCACGCCGAAGACCCGGGTTCGATTATTCACATGGGTACAACGTGTGAAGCCCATTTCTGGTGTCCCCCGCCGTGATATTGCTGGGACATTGCTAATAGCGGCATAAAACTAAATTCAATCAATCACTCACTTACTCATGTGGAAATGTTATTTGTCTGAAGAAACTGATAACTGATAATAGGTTTATTTATGCAATAGGAAGCCAAGCACATAACACGAGGCCTTCAATAAAACATCGTTCACTTAAAGCGATGTGAAGAATAGCAATGGTACAAGGATAAAAACTAGAGAAAAAGAACTCAATGTATTTAATTAATGTGTCGCACATATTACAATGCCAAGACTTTATGGCCTATGAGACACACATATTAAAATCATGAACTAATGCCTATGTGTTGATGATGGGGCCTGTTGTCTGATGGTCTGTTTTCCACGGTTAGTTTGTCCGCAACACACCAATACCCGGGGGTTTCTACAAATACTAAAACTCTAAGACCTTTTGCCTTTCCTACAGCATGAACCTGACATGAAATAACTGTTCTTCCACGCCCCACCATTACACGACATTATAACAATTCATTTTATAGTCAGATACGCTGTGGGTTACTCGGGCAAAATATATGAACGCAGCGGCCTAAATATGCAATAATTGCATGGTAAAATTATTCATAAACAAACTAAACTGCAGATGCCCAATACTAAAAAAATAGAGACTTATTACATATATGCATGCATATAAATATTTGGGGTTAACGATAACGCCTAAATTGATATGGACTAGAGCCTGTAAAACATTAGCGGAGCAGGCAAGTAAAGCATTATGGCCTATAAAATCTTTGATCAGACGTTTTGAATTTACAGTAAAAGATGCGTTCTTTTTATTTGATAAAAAGATTACTCCAATTCTTACATACGGGGCTGAAATTTGGGGTTGGGAAGAAAGGAGTAATATTGAAATTATTCGTAAGTTTTGTAAATTTGTTCTCCATATTAGTTATAAATCGTCGAATGCTGTATTATACGGGGAGTGTGGTAGATATCCACTTTATGTTTCCTATCATATTAAATGTATTAAGTATTGGCTACGATTGTTAAGAATGCAACGTCAAAGATATGCTTTCCAATGTTATAATATGCTGTTGTCCATTCTCGAGAGAAAAAGGCCGAGTTGGGCCAATCAAGTAAAATATTTACTTTTTCGTTATGGCTATGGTTTTGTTTGGATAAGCCAAGAGGTTGGGGATCCAGATCATTTCATTTATATCTTTAGTCAACGTGTTATAGAATGTGCTTATCAGAACTGGCACTATTCTCTTCAGAGTGATTCTCTCGCATTTTATCATTCTCATAAGTCTTTGCTTAATTGTGAAAGATATTTGTTAAACATTAGTTCCCATGAGCATAGACGTGTATTGACTTTATTTAGAAGTGGATATCTGAGTAAGAAAAATGTCTTTAGTAATAACTCCTACATTTGTAAACACTGTAATGTAATGCTGAATGAAAAACATGTACTGTATGATTGTGTATACTTTGTAACAGAGAGAAAGCGATTCATCCCAAATTGTAGTAGTGGTAACCATAATAATGTTTCAAACCTGTGCCAATCAAATAATAACATCTTTCTGTTAAATCTTGCTAAATTTCTTAAACATGTGTTTGAATCTATAAAACTCAAGAAAGTAACTCTGTAGAATCTTATGTTATATTGTACATTTGTACTTTGGGTCATATGGCCTTTCTACAAATACATATATTATGTTCTAAAGGTCTTTGTATACGTTTCTGGGCATTAATCTTGAAAGAAATGCCGCTGATCTCCATATTGTGGAACCTTTGTTATAAAGTTATAATTCATTGATTTAACTTTATTTATAATCAATTTATATACAGCCGAGTTCCAGCTAGGCTGCTCACGGGCGCTTTGTTTTTCCCTCGATCATTGGATATCAATCTCAACGGTACATTGTATTATCAATCTCAACTCCCCGAGGATCACACAACTAAAGTACTGTCGGAAATAAAAGAAACATGTTTTTTGGCTGTTACTCTGTATCCCTAAAATTTACACAATTGCAAATAGCATATGTCGAAATAACCCACATCGGACCAACTGGGCGTTCAGTGGGATGCGTAATAGGATATCCAGAAAAGCATGTTTACTCATAAAATCGGGCAAAACTTAGAAAAACTACGAATAGCTGCTTAAACAAGACATCAGACTATACAGTCCGTTTGAAACAAAATGATACCGTTGAATTGCAATTCTAGTACAAAAACAAATAGACATAAAAGAATCAAACCAACGCGGAGTGCAATAAAAACAACAGCCCAACTCTAGAAAAACATTGCATAATTGTTGTCACAAAAATAAAAAAGTTGTTTAAGAAATTGTCATAATTTATTTGTGCGTATTCCAAGTTTGTTACAAGGGCGCATTGGCATATAACAGTCTATGTAGAACATTTATATAGAACTTATGTCATATAGTTTCCAAGATTTCACCCGCACATTTGACAGTCATGTTGTTGGAGAATTATATACCGTCACAGTGTCACTGCCGTAACATGCAGTCTTTACCTGTTTTCTATGTATATGACAGGGACATCCATAAGTAAATCTTTTGCCTATTACATATTCTTTGAACATTCTGAAATATCTGACTGACAAATTTCATTAAATTATCTTTTAAAGTAAACATATAAATCCGGCTATTATTAAAAATGTCACCACCGTTATTGTGTCACTACCATAACAATTATTATTTTTTTTTTTTGTCATTTACCTTTTTTAACGTATTTATAGGTACAGTACATGTAGTCAAAATGTGACGTTGGTAGGTACAATGGTACTGATATACAAGGTATACAAAACAATCAATGATACAAATGTATTTCTATAGGAAAATTCTGCGAATGCCTTCAGATGGCACCATAACTTCACTTATTTATAGTTATACCATAACAATTAATGCCAATGTCCATACCATAACATTATCAATTTCCTTATTTAATTAAGATTGATCTATGTGTTTATGCCTGGATTTGGTAGTGCAAGTATGTTTGGTAGAAGAGTTTCAAGTAATCATAATACAGTTCATATTCTCATTTTGATTTTTTCATATTACTTTATATTTGCAAATAATAATAATAATACATTCATTTATAGAGCGCGTAAATTCACAAAATAAATGTGCTCTTTGCGCTCAAATCAGAATTGAACGGAATTGTTTGGCTTGTTGGCCCCTTTGAAGCAATAAATATAAAATTTCAAAACTCATTAGCCATGTTATATTGTAAAACTACATATTTTAATATACATGTACATTAAATGTACGTTTACCTTGCATAATTTATGTTTTGTATATTCAGAATACTATGAACGTAATCAACAACATTTCAAGGTAAAACAAGAAAACATCATTTTTGCCTACATGAAATATGCACGTATTTATATTATATATATTTCACATCTATTAACTAACTGCTATCTTCTCTACTAAAATATCCACTCTGCTAAGTCAGGTGATGTATCATTATCTGTTGTTTCAGTTCAGTGCACTTCCTGGGCCATCCTTTTACCTGAAAAGGTGGTGATGAGGAGTTGTTGTTTTGACAATGTGTGGTATGGTAGTATTGGGATGTGGAAGTTTTGGGACCCAAATATACCATCTGGTCATTTACGAACGGATTCGTGGGTTCTTTTAAGTGCACGGGTTTGTGGACTGTACACTAGGCGTTGTGACAACACTGAAAGAGTCTGCATACAAAGTTGACTCCAAGGTGTTTGTCTGTTTTCCACGATTGGTGTTTACACCCGTCACAGGTGGGCTCGATCCCGGCACCTCAAGCTCGCTGGATCACTAGCCTGGGGCCTTAGACAGCTCGCCATGTCCCTATAAGGCCTTGTGTACATTCTTTCGTCCGGGAGGCGATGTTTCCGAAGTCATGGGATTTCACTAAACTTCTGTCTCAACTTCGTTTCACTTGGGGGGGGGACCGGTGGGATAGCATAGTGATTAAAGCGTTGGCTCGTCACGCCGAAGACCCGGGTTCGATTCCCCACATGGGCACAATGTGTGAAGCCCATTTCTGGTGTCCCCCGCCGTGATATTGCTGGAATATTTCTAAAAGCGGCGTAAAACTAAACTCAGTCAGTCAGTCGTTTCACTTGGTTTCGCCAACTTCATTCTTCATTCACGTTTATATCTACCTTCGTGAAGATTCGGTTTGGAACAGACTAAGAGAAGCCCGTCCTTGTCGCATTATAGACGACTGGAGGGATCAGAGGACTGGCCTCACCGTCCTGTTTTAATGTAAGGCATCGTATCTTAACTGCGCAGATCCATTCTTATGATGCCAATCAGTGGATTATCTCGTCCATGGTCGGTTATTGACCGCCGGCAATAGCTGGAGTGAGTATGGTTTTACGCCGCTTTTAGCAATATCACGGCGGGGGACACTAGAAATGGGCTTTACACATTGCACCTATGTGGAGAATCGAACCCGGGTTTTCGGCGTGACGAGCTGACGCTTGAACAATTAGGCTACCCCACCACCCCGCAATAGCTGGAATATTGCTGAGTACGGCAATATACAACAGACGAGGGGATGGTTCTATTTGCGCTGAGTCAGTTACATGGTGTGTTATAACGAGGCTTACTACAGATATTATATTCATCTGTATATTTATCTCAAACTTGTTCTCCAATACAACTGTACATAAAAGTACGTATTCAAAAACATCCTAAAAATGCAAACAACACAACGTTTCTATGCTGACTGTCTGTGAACTTTATTAAGTGACGTCATTGGAAGGTGCGCGCCATACACCCCGGCGCGATACAGGAAGTATTCCAGGGCCAGGATGACGCTGTCGGAGACGGGGCTGATGGTGATGCTGACGTCGCTTACTGACGAAATTCCCTGAAGAAAAAGAGAACATCACTGTAGGAATGATGATTATACATGTAATAGGTCTAGTACACCAGTGGTTCAAAAATGCTCCGTGATCAAATCTTTGATGATCGCTGACACATAAATGTAACACATATTGTAATCTCTTCTCCTCAAAATAGTTGTTTCTTAGGCATTTGGTATTGAAGACCTACACCAATGGGCGATCTTTTTGTTGCGAGGGGCGATAACTCTCCTTTTGAAATGATATAAGCGACGGTCCAACTGTCCTTGCACCAGCGTTAACGTTACCGTGAAGGTGAAGACTGTACTGGTTAATTGTGTCTAAGTGTACTTGTAACACGTACAGCTCGCATCGCGCATACGACATGCACTGTCAGTTTAAGGGTTTACCGTCACGTTCATCGCACCTAGCGGGTTAGTGAAGAGAAGATTAATTGTAAACGATCGCCTATTCACCACCACGATATCGCAATCGACGCCACAGTAATAGTTAATGCATGTTACATTCTAAATACAACTCCGTGCTAATCCGTTCAACAACCCTTTACCATTACCATTTGCAATGCCAAGGTCAGTATCTGAGCACATCAGTATAGACATAAACATTCACTGACATCTGAAATCTTCTAGTGTGGAGACAGAAACACACATGCTTGTTGACGTTAAATCTACTATTTAGAATGCACACTGATGTGGAAATGGTGTGTATATGTATTGTATGATGTCTCTTTTTAGCAATATTCAGCCTGAAAATAATGGAATATAAACAATCCTGTAAGTGACATATTTAGCCGCGATCCTCTCTGACGATGACCCATTGTCCTCCACGCAACCATGCCTCAACACCGAATCCTACAACTAACGACTGCACCCACTTTGACAGGTGAACGGGTATCGAGCCGACCCTACATTAAGATGGCCATAACTTGCTGTACTGATGTCGTTATTGCCATACAATATAGGCAACATTCAACCAGAACTGTCATGCAGAAATTCTGAAGAAGAAAACAATAAATGGCTCTGGCCTGTCTGCACAACAGACATACCAACACAATTACACAAATAAATAGTGAATAAATATTTTTACGATGCAGTCACAAATATATGCTACTGGAATAAAGTAACTGTGCATTATTTGATGTTATGCCATTTCTTAATGCAAAACGATAATAACATGACTTGCGGTGTTTTCCTTAATCACTGTTTAACTGTTCACAGGATAGTATCGAAATCTGTATGACTTGACTCTAGGCATTGTGACACGCCCTTGAAGATATGTCGTGTCAAAAGTCAGTTCACTTCAGTATCGTGTGTGTCCACCATTGGCGTTGATTCAGGCTTGACAACGACGACGCATAGACGACACTAAGCGATTAAAGAAAGCTTGGGGAATGTTGTTCCATGTCTGAACCAACTCTTGTCCCAATTCAGCTAACGTCAGTGGCTGATTATGGGCTTGACGTAAACGTCACTCCATTTCATCCCAAGTGTGCTCGATGGGGGAATGTTCTGCTGTTTCAGGAAATCTGTCACAACACGAGCGACATGTGGACAGGCATTATCTTGTTGAAACGTGAAGTTACGTGACGGTACCAATTAGAGAATGTATTCTACAACGATATGTCTTTTATTCCCTGGCAAGGGTTCACTTTTATGACATGTAATAAACCCTGCCCAGTCAGTCAGTGAGTCCGGTAAACTTTTATTTAATCCATGATGTAACGTAGGTCTATGTAATTTGTGTTTATTCAAACAGTGACAAGGGAAACATTATTTGCGCTTCTGTGGATAACAGTAAAACATACACTTAAAACAGTATTTTAGAAAATGCTAGCCATACTAGGGGGCAAATATGACAGTGAATATAAATTTTTGACACTAAAAACAAGAAGGATGCAGATGAGTGAAGTTATACTATTATATAGAATTGGTTCCCAGTTGATCGCATAGGACGGCGAATAGAAAACACTTACTTTAAACATGATCCGAAATTTCAAAAATGTATCTCTTCACGCGTCAGATGCAATTACATTAATATAAAGCACAAATGGATAATATGAAAAGTCGGCCTATTCCTGCAGTTCTCATGAATAAATATGTCACATGCAAGATGCATTATGTATATCAACAATAAGAACTCGAACAGAATAAAAGATGCGTGAAATAGTCTATACACTCATGGGGATATCCTTGGGTTGAGGAGAAATTGAAAGAAGTGGTAGTAAAATCCTTCTTTAATTTCCAAAAATTTCCAAGCCTTGGAAATATGATATTTCCAATTTTGGATTTTTTTGGACAGTCATCGCTTTTGGAAGGTGATTGGTGAAATTTGCATGCGTACGATTTTCATTTCAAACAAAACGATTAGAAACAAACAACTGTGTGATGCAAGATGATTGTCAAAATTAATGGTCCACAGTGATTTATCACATGGGGTGTCAAGAATAACGTGTATGGGACTACTGCGTTGTGCGCATGCATCCCATGCGTTGTGTTTAGGGGTGGTGAAAAAGAGTAATGTCGGTGCGTTCATAAAAAAAGTTTGTTAACGCTTTTACTTCCTATCAAAGTTCAGGTTCCCTACTTTTTGAAGAGTATATAACTGAACACGCAACGGCATCACCTGCTTCGTCATGTTGTTGTGCACGTCCAGCTCAGCGAACCATGCAGGGTATTCTTGTACCGACACCGACTCCACGGACACACCGTGGAACCTGCTTCTGTCCAGGGCGTCCCGAGAGTCGCCCAGGATGATGCCGAGATCCCGGAAGCAGTCCGCGACGACAACACATTCGGAGGTAGTGCTTCCTTTACAACTCGCCTTCGACGCACTAGACGCCCCGAATTTGGAAATGGCTTCTCTGCTGATGACATAACCCGCGCTCCCGAGCGGGAAGACTGTGTTTCCTTCTCTCAGAACCTGGCCGAAATAGATAGGTTTGTTGTAATCTTCGTCCTTGAGGAAATAGCGAAGGTTTTCAAGAACGACAAACGTCATGGGATGGACTCGGATAAACCAGTGGGCTCCCCCTAAATGATGTGTGTATATGTACTTTAAAGCCTGAAGAGAGGCGTATGAGTCGTCCTCCACTGGATGTCCAGAAGTAGGGATCTTGAGAACAACTGTGTCGTTATCTGTGGTATTGGTGCTGAAGAGAAGAAGACGGTCACATCTCCGACCCCACGTCTGCTGGTACACTGATCTCTGGGCGGCAACTTTGTCTTCAGTAATGACAACAAAACAGAGAATCTTCACTCGTCGAAGGTCGTCTGCTACATCCGTGTAACCTGAAAATATGGAACGAGAGAGGTTTCAGCATGGTATGGAGACTATGTCACGGTGGGGCACATAGAGGTTATGACGCGTGTGGGTTTGGGGAGGGTAAATATCTTCAGATGATAAATATCCTGGGAAGGTAAACATCCTGGGAGGGTAAATATCCTGGGAGGGTAAATATCCCGGGATGATAAATATCCTGGGAGGGTAAATATCCTGGGAGGGTAAATATCCCGGGATGATAAATATCCTGGGAGGGTAAATATCCCGGGATGATAAATATGCTGGGAGGGTAAATATCCTTGAACGGTAAATATTAGGAATAAACATTGTATTTCCATTGGGGAAAGGGCATCAAGCTGCAGATGTCTACAAGCACGAATATGGATACAGATCTATAGACTTTTGTTCTCACTAAATTGTTTCGTGCTATCACAAGCTTGTGACCAGTTTCAGCTACGTCCCAGATGGACAGCGATGTTCATCATTATCCTGGACTCTTGTTTTGATAATGATAATAATTATGTAATATAGTTTATAACATTCACTTCTTATCCTTGGGGCCTATTCAGACCCAGACGCAGAATCCCAACAAGAAGACAGGCATGGGATTGGGGCCTATTCAGACCCGGAATCCCAACAAGAAGACAGGCATGGGATACTGGGGCCTATTCAGACCCAGGAAATCCCAACAAGAAGACAGACATGGGATACATGGTGATGGGGCCTATTCAGACCCGGAATCCCCAAGAAGACAGGCATGGGATACGGGGGCCTATTCAGACCCGGAATCCCAACAAGAAGACAGGCATACGGGGGATACGGGGGCCTATTCAGACCCGGAATCCCAACAAGAAGACAGGCATGGATACGGGGGGCCTATTCAGACCCGGAATCCCAACAAGAAGACAGGCATGGGATACGGGGGCCTATTCAGACCCGGAATCTCACAAAGGGTACTGGGGCCTATTCAGACCCGGAATCCCAACAAGAAGACAGGCATGGGATACGGGGGCCTATTCAGACCCGGAATCCCAACAAGAAGACAGGCATGGGATACGGGGCCTATTCAGACCCGGAATCCCAACAAGAAGACAGGCATGGGATACGGGGCCTATTCAGACCCGGAATCCCAACAAGAAGACAGGCATGGGATACGGGGGCCTATTCAGACCCGGAATCCCAACAAGAAGACAGGCATGGGATACGGGGGCCTATTCAGACCCGGAATCCCAACAAGAAGACAGGCATGGGATACGGGGCCTATTCAGACCCGGAATCCCAACAAGAAGACAGGCATGGGATACGGGGCCTATTCAGACCCGGAATCCCAACAAGAAGACAGGCATGGGATACGGGGGCCTATTCAGACCCGGAATCCCAACAAGAAGACACATGGGATATGGGATACAGGGGCCTATTCAGACCCGGAATCCCAACAAGAAGACAGGCATGGGATACGGGGGGAAGACAGGCATGGGATACGGGGGCCTATTCAGACCCGGAATCCCAACAAGAAGACAGGCATGGGATACGGGGGCCTATTCAGACCCGGAATCCCAACAAGAAGACAGGCATGGGATACGGGGCCTATTCAGACCCGGAATCCCAACAAGAAGACAGGCATGTGATACGGGGGCCTATTCAGACCCGGAATCCCAACAAGAAGACAGGCATGGGATAGACAAGTGGAGACTTTGGTCGGCCCAGTAGTGACTATATTAACCACACATTGGACCCAAATTGCTGTTTGTTTTCTATATATATTTTTAAAAGAATGTTTAAAAAGCATATGTGATTTGTCTACAAAATAAGTCTTGAATAATAATTATTTCTAGTAATCATACTTTATTTATAGACCTTCAACATAATGTATCGCTTTGACTGTGAAATATGTTTATAATCATTGACGTCAAGGTGTTACTGGGTAATTATATGCACAACCTTGAAAAAATGTGTATGATCATTCGATTAAAATGTGTATAAATATCGCATGTACCATACTGCGTGCAACGTCAGAGGTTTTGAAACCGTGATAAATGAGTGGTGCGTGGTTTATCGGTGCGTAGATATGTGACGGTCATGGTAGGGTGCACTCATAGCACCATAGTTCTGAGCACCATACAGAACCAGTTGGTGTAAAGGTTTACTTGGGTAGCACGTTATGTCACCGAGGCATGTCTACAAACACGTGGGTCATTTGAACACAAAACTGTTTTAGTGTGACTCGTCAGCAAAAAACGCAGGTTTCTGTGGTCTTCGGAAGTGAACAAGTCTGAGTAAGGTACAGTAAACCAGCACAAGGTTTGACACAAGAAGGCCAGTGAAGGAGTGAGTGAGTGAGGTTAGTTTTACGACGCACTCAGCAATATTCCAGCTATATGGCGGCGGTCTGTAAATAATCGAGTCTGGACCAGACATTCCAGTGATCAACTGAATCGATGCATCGATGTACACAATTAGGTTACGATGACATGTGTCAACCAAGTCAGCGAGCCTGGCCACACAATCCCGTTAGTCGCCTCTTCCGACACGCATGGATTGTGCAGACCAATTCTACCACCGATTTTCACGGGTCGCCAACATGTTTGATACAATTACAGGTTGGAATTTAGACTGAGTGACTTGGGGTGTTGAGGACAGGTGTGCTGTTTCTTTAGAACAAAGTAACAGTGAACAAATCATTGCTGTGGTTGCAATCCTCCGAGTGAGAAGGCGAACCCCGTCAGCACCATCGTATTCTTACTGATCTAGCTCTGTCAGTCTTGTACACCCGTACATAATAAATGCTCTCGTCGAAACCAATTTCGACTCGAACGAATAACGTTATTTCAGATGTAGTGAACGTGCCAAAATGATTACCACGAAACTGAAATAATCTGTCTTCTTACTAGCAGAAGCCTGTCAATGGGGAAGCTACACTGAAACATTTATCATAGTAACGTCTTTATGTGAGGTCTTCCTATGCGACACAAAACCACACCTATCCAATATACCAGGGGGCACGTGTTCAGTCGACTAATGCGCAGCAATTAGCTCTGCAAAGAGTCTGTCCACGACGTACAACATTTGATAGCGGCTTTGAATTCCATATTCGCCCTCTTAATGTTACTAGGTTAGTGTGAAATAGGAACTTTAGCAGCGTTCGAAATACCTGCCTGACCGAACGCACGGGACGAGTTATTTTCAACACGGACTGCCAGATTCTCAAATTCACCTGCCCGACGAAATTTAGACATGTATATGAAGTTAGTATTAGTTTTTTTCAATATCGTACAAGTTTTGATTTAATTATACTAAGTAAATTAGTATTTTTAGTGGGCAGGTAAGTTTGATCAGGACTGGCAAGTTTTACGTCTAAGCAGCCCTGTGGTCTGGCTGAAATGTTTGGGGGTTTCATACCCTGACTTTAGGTTATAGCTTGGACTGACTGACAATGTTTACAGGCAGGCTGGCGGATTGCGATCAATATGTTGAAAGTTTAGTTTTATATTTCATTATACTGGTGGGAAACACCCTTTGTATCACCTAACTAATTATCCTGTGTTCTTGAGTTATAGCTAGTGGATAGTCATATTTGAAATATTGGATTTTTCTATAAAAGATTATCAGCTCGTACGTTTGATTTGGGACCCGTGAAGGTCCGGGTTAGAATTGATCTTCAGTAACCCATGCTTGTCGTAAGAGGCGACTAATGGGATCGGGTGGTCAGGCTCGCTGACTTGCTTGACACATGTCATCGCATCCCAGTTACGTAGATCGATGCTCATGCTGCTAATCACTGGATTGTCTGGTTCAGACTCGATTATTTACAGACCCGCCGCCATAAAGCTGGAATATTGCTGAGTGCGGCGTAAAACTAAACTCACTCAGTGACGTTTGTTTTGGTCGCCTTGACCAGTTTCTAACTTGGGAGGCATAGATATAGCTGTGTCCTGGACAGAAAGTAGTATTCTAACTGGCAGTATTCAGTAAACCGCGTTATGAAAATTTATCATCTCGGTTCAGTGGTGAATATATTCATTTCACTCGTAGTTGCTCTGATATAATCGAACAATCCAAATAGTTTAGTTTGTCCTGTTGCAAACCCTTGAAACGAAATACTTTGCCGTTCTAAAGGAGTGGTATGGTATAGAGTGGTATGTATATCAATAATGGTTGACACCATACTTTATCTACTGCCATAACGATAAATACAGGCGGGACATTCATTGGGTGATTCCTGTACGTCAATTCGTCTATTCAAGTGGTAATACACTTTCGACTCCGGTTGCCTCCCGTGTGAACATAAAGGCAAGGATGTGTTGTGCCTGACGTTTTCGGGTTTGTGGCTCCTCCAGCTGTGACACGCCTGTCGATAAAGTCCAATGGCAGCCGCCACTGGTCAATACGTGCGTCCTGTTGTCCATACGGGAGGCGGTATTGTAGAGCTGTGATGTATGGCTAATAGCCTGGCCAGGATTTACTCCCACTGTTAAATTATGGGCAAACCCTTATCCAGCTTGTTTGTCCATATCTTATGTACCTACTTTGACGTAGGTAAGCTATTTCTGTCTCATGGGCATCATACTTCTGTGCAAAACGTTGCATGTTTAATGCGCATTATTATATTCAGCGAAATGTGATTAATTGTTGAAGATTTTACATGTATGGGGGGAAATAACACAATAACGTTACTGTACTATCATCACTGTCATCTATTTAATCACTGTCATCTAATTAATCACTGTCATCTAATTAATCACTGTCATCTATTTAAATATAATCACTGTCATCTATCACTGTCATCTAATTAATCACTGTCATCTAATTAATCACTGTCATCTAATTAATCACTGTCATCTAATTATTCACTGCCATCTATTTAATCACTGCTATCTATTTAATCACTGTCATCTAATTAATCACTGTCATCTATTTAATCACTGTCATCACTGTCATCTATTTAATCACTGTCATCACTGTCATCTGTTTAATCACTGTCATCACTGCCATCTATTTAATCACTGTC